GTCCCAATACACACAAAAGGGAATAAACATTGTGTATAGCAAAACATGTGTTAATGCAATACGTTTCGTGAGAAATACATGATTTCCTGGAGAAATATCAAGGGTGCCAACAATTTCGGCCATGACTGTACAGGGGGGAACAATGAGAATGAACATAGCCACCCTCTAACAGGGTCAGATGGTAGCAGGAAAAAAATGGATTCGGAGGAGGCTGCAAGCAATAGAAGGTACTTTGTTAAGAAAATATACTTGATGGGTCTAAAGACCACGGAATCCAGTCTACCAATAAAGAGGTGGCAACTACTTTCCTCCTGTCAGGGCACTGGTGAAGTTAAAGGACTAAACTCATCAGCATTAAGAGCGGTATTTTGGGAGGAGTGCTGTTTTTTTCTGGTAGCTCTTTGAAAGAACCCATCCCAGTGCTGAAGGGCATGCAAGCTAGCATTGGCATGGTAGGGGCCAACACTATTGTTAACCTATTAGTATTGAATGCCTTGTGTTCAGCTAGGTTAGGAAGCACAGATTTCAAATGGAAATTAGCCCCCCAAGTGCTGGATCTGGATAAAAACACAGTTCTGCACTATGGGCAGTAGATAACTACAAGCAGGGGCATATTTACCACAAGGCAAACAAGGCATTTGCCTAGGGTGCATTTTTCAGGGGCCAGCAGGGATGGAAGAAGGGACACATGCAGCATGGAGATCAGCTGGGATCTGAGAGCGGCTGCTTGATTCTTGTTCCCGGGGATGTCCAGAGCTGTGAAGATGAGTGTCTTTCTCTCGGGAGGGGAGTGGCCGGTGTGTGGGTGGCGATGGTAGTGGAAGGCTCTCTCAGTTAAGGGGGGAGCAGGGGTGTTGTTGGTCAATGTCAGGCTCCCTTCATGGGGGTGGGGGTGTTGGTTGCTGTCAGGCTCTCTCCAAGGGGGGATACACCACTGACTAGAGGCATTTTCCATCTCATCCTGGGGAATGTGATCATTTTACTGTAGCCAGATAATCAGGGATCATAACATAGAGCTCTGGTATAAACAGGGTGACCTGCACTATCTTTTTTCTATTAAAGAACAGATTATATAAAATTCTGTTTGCTATCTCTTTTGCAATTCTTTTTACCCGGTGAATGCTCAGAGAATATGGTCTTTATAAATAGGGTAAATGTTCTATTGAGAATGTATAATGATTAAGCATGTAAATGTTGATTAAATATGCTCCTTATTCTGTTTAAAGATAACAATGTCAATTTTTATTATGCTGGGAGGCACTATGAAATAAAACACAGTTTATACTGCAAACAAGGCATGTCACAAGACCAGGACTTCTTATGGTGGCTATGGATTAATTAAATGTGTCTGGTTCAGCAGGAACCAGATGATTTTCAATCAGTTTGTGGCTGTTCCTGTACAACAGAAGTTGATTGGATTTTTTTTTTTTTTTTAATCAAATATTTTTGTTAAATTTTTGGTTTTCAGCATAAAAAATAAAAAGAACGGTACAGTGTTTTCAGGTACAGACCACAAGAAGACAATACAGTAATCTTTAGAATACACATCAGTCATAACAATCCACAGACGTTAAAAGAATGTAGTACATAACACCATGCTGTAAAATATAATGGACAGATTAAAGCATCTAAGAGTACGCCAAACCTGCAAAATGTGCATGGTGGCTTGGTATAAATTATGGCAAGTTGAGTCTAACCAGGTAGACCACAATTTATAGAATTTGTTTGGCCATCCTCTGTGCTGATATGTCACCTTTTCTCTATCAAGAATATTTTTGGACTTCTTGTTTCCATTGGTGTAATGATATAGAGGTAGGTAAAATCCATCTTTTGGCCACTAGTTTGCGGGCCAGAAAGAGCAAATATGTAATCAATAATTTGAGTGTTTAAGATATTGAGCCCTCCAGGATGATGTTTAAGAGTGCAATTTTAGGGCCCATTGGAAGTTTAATTGCAAGAAGGCCATTAATTGCTTTAATTTTAGAGGTTACATAATTAGTCTGGCTGAAAAAAGACAAAAGTCTATCCAGTTCAACCATAAAAAAAAAAAAATTATAATCCTATACCCACAGTTGATCCAGAGGTCCAATACTGGAATTTGGGGCACCCCCAAATGTGAACTAAGGTGCCAGTGTCACTCAGACATCTGAGACAATTGAGAAATGCTGCTTTTCCCTAGCTTCTGTGCGGTGTGATAAGTGTGATGGACTATGAACAGTGGCGTAAGTTTTTGGGTGGGGGATAAGGAGACCAGAGGGATGGCTTCCAACCACTGATTGTCATCTGATTGTCCTAGGTCCTGTTAAATTGTTTGATTGACTGTCAAAGAGACATGCTCGAAAACTTTTTTCGATACACAGGAAATGTGTTGGCGCAAGTCTAATGTTCCCTAGAGGTCATCAATCAGGAAAAACAGGCCTCTTGGATAAGTCCAATAGGATTTCCTTAGGGCAGAAACCAGGTCACACTTCAAGGCAGGCCTTCTAGGATAAGGAGGAATCAATCTCCAAAAAAATCCATGCAAAGAAAAGTAGAAAAAGGTGCCAGTGTAGACTGTAAAATGTTTATTCACAATAGGCAACATAAATTGCACTCACATGATAGATGAATGATAACAAGCACATCAAGTAGTTTTGGATCCGGGACTGGTAACAAGCCACTGTGTGGATAAACCCTCTTTTGGAAACTCGGGGGGCCCCATGAGATGCCCCTGGGATCTTTTTCATAGGCTTTTTTGACTTTGGGGAAGGACACAGGGGCCCCATGATCCGCTATTGCCCGGGGGCCCCATGAGTTGTCAGTCCGCCCATGATTTCAGGTCTCCTTCATGGCACAAGAGATCTGCTGATTGCTGGTTAAATGCTTTCCAAGCTCCACAAAAAAAAAAAGAGAGTAAATACACATTTTTTTACCTGCAAAAAATAGGCATTTTTTTTTTTTAGGTGAACTTATCCTTTAACCACTTGCCTACCGGGCACTTATACCCCCTTCCTGACCAGGCCAATTTTCAGCGCTGTCACACTTTGAATGACAATTGTGCGGTCATGCAACACTGTACCCATATGAAATTTTTATCATTTTTTCACACAAATAGAGATTTCTTTTGGTGGTATTTACTCACCGCTGGGTGTTTTAATTTTTGCGCTATAAACAAAAAAAGAGCAAACATGTTGAAATAAAAAAAGGTTTTCTTTGTTTCTATTATAACAGTTTGCAAACAGGTAATTTTTCTCCTTCACTGATATGCAATGATGAGGCAGCACTGATGGGCACTGATAGGCAACAATGATGGGCACTGATAGGTGGCATTAATGAGCACTCATAGGCAGCACTGATATGCAACAACGATGGGCACTGATGGGCACTTGGAGGCACTGCAAGGCACAGATGGGCAGCACTGGTGGGTGGCACTGATGGGTGGCACTGTTGGGCACAGCTGGGTGGCACTGAATGGCACTTGTGGGTGGCACTGCTAGGCACAGATGGGCAGCACTGGTGGGTGGCACTGCTGGGCACTTGTGGGCAGCACTGGTGGGCACAGATGGGTGGCACTGCTGGGCACTGATCATCAGTGCCCTGATGATCGGTGCCGATCCATCCTCTGACAATTGCCAGTTATCAGCAGTACTTTCCTTGCGCTGTGGCAGCATGAGGAAAGTAATGCCAATAACCAGCAACTGCATATACCGGTGATCTGCTGTGTCAATGGACACGGCTGATCACATGGTAAAAGGTTGCTGTGATTGACCTTTTACCACATCACATGGACACAGCGATCACGCAGGGTGCGTGCCGCCGGGTGCGTGTGGGAGGGCACGTTCTGGGACGACGTCATAGGACACCCTGCCAGAACTGGCCGGCCACCGTGAAGCTATCATTCGGCTATCTGCAGTCGGCGAGTGGTTAAAGACGACCTTGTCAGATAGCAAAACTTAAAAGCCAGCCGCTACAAATACTACAAGTACTGTGACTGCTGACTTTTAATAAAAGGACAATCTAGGGATCCAATGCTGTCCTCACCCTGGATGGTTCTTCACCTGTCTTCGGGCCCCTGGTGCCAACATCTTGGCTGTGGGAACCCAGCTGTGACTCCTGGCCTCCCACTGCGCATGCACAAAATGTACGGCTTTGTGAATGGACTCGCAGCCTTCTGAGACCTATGATGTGTCATAAACAGGTACCTGCCCCCCCTCCCCCCACAAACAAAAAAACTGCAAAAATAGTTCATGAAGGGGTTAGATAAAGCAGAACATGTGTTTGTTTACACCCACCGACATCCAATCTGATCCACCAAAGAGACAGATGGAGATCCGTTCCCCTTCAGTCCATTGGATCGGATCGAATGGCAGTCAGATGGAAACGGACAGGTGGTCTATTTCCATCCGACCCCCCATAGAGGACAGTGGGCTGTGTCTATGTCTGCGCTGCAGCGGGGTGCAGGGTGTGTGGAGTATCTGAAGGGGGGGGGGGGGGGGGGGGGGACACAGCTCAGACCTCCGTACAGTAGCGGGGGGCAGGGTGTGTGGAGTATCCGAGGGGGGGGGGGGGAAGGACACAGCAGCTCAGACCTCCGTACAGTAGCGGGGTGTGTGTGGAGTATCTGAGGGGGGGGGGGGGGGGGGGGGACACAGCTCAGACCTCCGTACAGTAGCGGGGTGCAGGGTGTGTGGAGTATCTAAGGGGGGGGGAAGGACACAGCTCAGACCTCCGTGCGGGGGGGGGACACAGCTCAGACCTCCGTACAGTAGCAGGGGCACAGCTGGACCTGAGGGGGGGGGGGACACGGCTCAGACCTCCTTACAGTAGCAGGTGCGTGGAGGACTGAGGAGAAGGTCAGCACAGGTGACTCCTCTCTATGTTCCTATCCCCGCCCCTGTACAGGTGTGACCTCGCCTCCTATGCCCTCTGATGCCCCGCCCGCTTCCTCTCTCTGTCACCGACGTCACATCCAGGTCTGGCGGTGGCCGCTGATTGGCCGGTTGTTAGTACGCTGAGCGGAGATGGCAGCGGCGGCGGTGAGGTTCCTGGGGACGTCTCGGTGTCTTGTGTCCGGGTCCCGGGCCTGGCTCTGCGGTGTGCAGCGGACTAGAAGCTGGCTGGAGCCCGGGGCGGCCCGTCTGTACAGGTAATAGTGACTATGGGGTCCCTGGGGTGACTTCTAGTGTATGTGGTGCTGGCAGTGCTCTGGGTAGGTGAGGTGCCAGTCTGTGTGATATACTCTGATCAGCCATAACATTATGACCACTGCCAGGTACAGTGAGTAACGTGGATTATCTGGTCACAGTGTCCTCTGTACCTGGGTGGATCTATCAGGCAGCCAGTGAACGTGTTGTCCCTGAAGTTGGTGGGAAAACATGGACAAGTGTAAGGATTTGGGTGACTGACAAGGACCAAATTGTAATGGTTAGAGGACTGGGTGGGAGCATCTCTGCATCTCTTGTGGGATGTTCCCAGATCAGGACCGACCTAGAGTGGTCCAAGGAAGGAGAAGCAGTGAACCGGGGACAGGGTCATGGGTGGCACATGGGGAGCGAAGCCCCCGGACTTTGTATTCTGAGCCAATAGAAGAGCTACTGGAGCTCAGATTGCTGACAGGTCTATCTGGTTCTGATAGAAAGGTGTCAGAGCACACAGTGTATGGGGCTGGGGAGCTGCACACCGCTCAGGGTGCCCATGCTGACCCATGGCCACAGCCAGAAGTAACTACAATGGGAACATTAGTATCAGAACTGGACCACAGAGCAATGGAAGAACGTGGCCTGGTCTGGGGAAATCAAGAATGGTTTGAGGAACACAAGTTTGAGGTGTTGACTTGGCCTCCAACTTCTCCAGATCTCAATCCACTTGGGTGTCTGTGGGATGTGGCTGGAAAAACAAGTCCAATCCATGGAGGCCTGACCTCCAACTTACAGGACTTAAAGGATCTGCTACTGAAGGCTTGGTGCCAGATACCACAGCTTACCTTCAGAGGTCTAGTGTGGAGTCCATGACTCAGCGGGTTATGGTGGGTGGTCATAATGTTATGGCTGATTGATGTATACAGTTGTGGTATCCCTATGTCCTCCTTCCTTGTATACAGTTCAGGTTCCTCTAACCCCATTACTACCCCCGTCATGTGTAACGGACAGCTGTCAGTCCAGCAGGTGGTAGTGATGATCAGTACCAGGAGATGACGGTAGCTCTTTCCTTCCTCTGGGTTCTTGGAGATAGCTGTGCCTGTCACCTCCATTTACAACTCTCTAGTGCAGGGGTCTCCAAACTTTATAAACAGAGGGCCAGAATACTCTCCACTTCACACTTTAGGGGCCCGTAATGTGGTCAGTATGAGTAGAAAATGTCCTGACAGCAGTGGGGGTAAACAATGCCCCATTTTGGTCTTAGAGGGAATAATAGTGCTCCATCATTTATATCAGTGGCAGGAATAATGCCCCATCATTGATGTCAGTGGGACAAATGGTGTCCCATCACTGGTGTAAATGGAAGAAATAGTGCCCCATCATTGGTGTCAGTGGGACAAATAGTGTCCCATCACTGGTGTAAATGGAAGAAATAGTGCCCCATCATTGGTGTCAGTGGGACAAATGGTGTCCCATTACTGGTGTCAGTGGGACAAATGGTGTCCCATTACTGGTGTCAGTGGGACAAATGGTGTCCCATCACTGGTGTAAATGGAAGAAATAGTGCCCCATCATTGGTGTCAGTGAGAGGATTAGTGCCCCAGCACTAGTATCCATATAGGAGGCATGATGTCCCATAGTTAGTGAGAAGACTAGTACTCCATTGTCAGTGTCAGGAACTATGCCCCACTGTTGCCAACAGTGGGGGGGAATAATGCCCCAAGGGCCAGATGAAAGCAAGCAAAGGGTCGCATCTGGCCCACGGGCCGGAGTTTGGAGACCATTTAGTGTTTTCAAGAGATTTTGGAGCTTTTTTTTTTCCCTCTTGCACATTTGTATGGGTGTTTTCAGGATGGAGCCCCCCGAGAATCTCCTGTACTTTTTCAAACTTCAAATGACACAGCACTCAGGTGTATGTGAGCTCCATACAATGTAATGGGAATCTAAATGATGAGTGTTGGAGCACTTCAAGTGGAACTTTACCATAACAACCTGATAAAAAATAATGTTCTTTAACCTCCTTAGCGGTATTCCCGAGTGTAGCTCGGGGTAAAATTTGAGTACCAAGAGCGGTAACCCCGAGCTACACTCGGGCTTACCATGTGGCGTTGCTCAGGGAGTCCCTGCAGCACTTACCTTGTCCTTCGCTCCCACGATGTGTCCCCTGCAGCGTCCCCGGCCATCTCCTCCGGCCGATGCCGGCATCCGGCTTCCGTGTTTTCCGGTCCCTGTGACGTCGGGACGTACGGGCGCCTGAACCGGCGGCAAATTTGAAATTTTTAAAAAATTTCATTTTTTTAAAAATGATTATTACATAGTAAAACATTGCTGTTTCGATGCATTTCACATACATTTTGTCCCTAGTGCTTTGTCCTGTGCCCTGCCTGCATTTTGACTGTTCTTTCTGCCTGGAAACTTAGAAAAGTCCATGGCGTCCAAAAAGCGTCCCTTTACGTCAAAAACGGTTTTAGACCAGCTAGAGAACAGCGATAGTAAATTGGAACCACTTGCAGAATTGAGTGATAATGATTTGTGGGGAAATTCGTCATCAGACACTGAAAACGATTTTGCGACTTTGCTCAGCGATGTGCGAATTTGCCTCTGTATTTCAAATTTCAGTGTTTTTGGTTTGATTATATTATTGAATTAAATTTATTATTATTATATTATTTTTTATGATTATTTTTATTAATTATAATTTATGATTTCGTGTTTCAAATTTTATCATACCCGGGATGTTTACTAGACTCTTGTTCGTACAGATTTCAGTGAGTTATTCCTAAAAATTACAGCCTACAATAAAAAGCTACATATTTCCATGCAAAAAAATGGTACCGCTTTCAGCACCAAAAATCGGAAATAATCATACCGCTAGGGAGGTTAACAAGGAACATACATTCCACATTAATAATTGACCAGTATTGCTCCTGTTTCCTCTTGCTGGAGGCTGCCATTTTGCTGAAGCCCAGAGTCCCTGAGCAGCAATAAATCTTTAGTCCGTCAGCAGAATTGCCCCTACATTCTCATCACAGTGCCAAAAACTAGAGAGCAACTGAGCATGTGTAGATCAGGGTCAGACAGTGTATTACTGGATTCTAAACAGTATAGACACTCATTTTAATATTTTACATAGCTATACCAGCAAAAGGGGCCTGCATGAAGTGATCTAGCAGGACTTAAAGCGGAGCTCCAGTCAAAATATAAAAAAAATAAAAATCGGGTACAAAAACAGTGAATACTGACTTTTGGAGCTCATTCACACCGTGGTGCAGAGATGTCAATTTTTCTGCACACATTCTGCAAGGGCATAACAAAATCATGTTTTCTCTATGTTCCCTGTTCACACCACAACACACTGGTATCACATACAGATTTTTTTTCTGCGCAGGAATCTGCAACGTGCATAAAACTCATCAAAGCGTGCATGACAACTGAATTCTCTGCAAGTTAAATCTTCACTCCAGTTTGCGTCAGTTTTTCTGCACTTATGGTGTGAGCAAAGCCTAAAGGATAGGTTCACCTTTGTGAACATGTTACATGTTCCACACCTAAAAACAGGTGGAATATGTAACATGATCCCATAGCTGTAGCAGCGCCCGCCACCCCTCCTCCCTCTGACAGAAGTCCGGGGAGAAGTTTCCATGTACTACCTGTCAGATTTGAAAACAACTGTGCGGAGCTCCACCCACACGTCGTCCAAGTCATTCATTCACGGAGTTCCATGAATGAATGAACTGCAAGTCCTGACAGCCTTAGCGGCTGTGGGCTTGTACTTTTCAGTGAACTACTATGGCGCTGTGGAGCACCGTGGTACCTCATTGAAGCTTCCTGTCAGAATATCTGTTAGCCATACATCCCGTACGGCAAGCAGATATCCTTACAGGTCAGCAGGAGACCTACATGGCATGAGCGATCTACTGATCACTGGTGTAATGCTTTCCAGGCTCCTTCATCCAGGTGTCGGGCGAGAAGGCCTGGCTCGCAGTCTCCGCTCTAATTCATCCTTAAGGTGTTCTGTCGGGTTGGTGGAGGCAGTGTGATGGCATGGGTTCCAGTGGCACGGGGTCATTGGTGTTTGATGATGTGACAGAAGACAGAAGCAGCTGGATGAATTCTGCAGTGTTTAGAGATATACTGTCAGCCCAGATTCAGCCAAATGCAGCAAAGTTGATTGGACGGAGCTTCACACTACAGATGGACAATGATCCAAAACACACTGCAAAAGCAACCCAGGAGCTTTTGAAGGAAAAAAAGTGGAATATTCTACAATGGCCAAGTCAGTCACCTGATCTCTACCCAATAGAGCATGCATGTCACTTGCTGAAGGCAAAACTAAAGGCAGAAAGACCCCAGGGATGTGCAAATCCTATCGCCTGACGCCTGGGACATTTAGTTCCGGGCGCCGGGCAGGTTGGTTTTCCTTACATTTAGCCCTGCTGCGGGCTCTGACTGAAGGGGGAACTCCACCATGGTCTAATGTAAGCAGGGACTCTGATATATAGGGGTAAAGATGGGGACTTTGATGTTCCCGGATGTGGTGCTGGAGACAGGCAAGGGAGGGAGATAAACAGTGCAATGTTAAAAATATAAAAAATTTAGGTTGCCATAAAGCCCCTTTTTGTTTTTAAAAGCCCCAAATATTCCTAACATCACCTCCCCATATCACTGCCTAATAAAAAAACATCAACCCTTCATATTTTCCATCCTGGCAAAGTCATTTCATGGTTTAATGGGACATACATCCATTGAAAATCCCTAGTGATAAAACTGTTTCATTCAGTAATAGTATAAAAATAAAGATCTTATTTAAATACGATTTTGGTTAAAATTATTTTTTTTTTTTATTAGGACAAGTAGAATGTCAAAAGGGACAAATAGTGTGGGACCCCAATTTTGTCCCTTGGACAAGTAGTTTTTTAAAAAATGTCTGCATCCCTGGACCCACAAACAAAGAACAACTGAAGACAGCTGCTGTTAGACCCTGGCAAAGCATCAGAAAGAAGGAAAC